TGAAAAAGGAATTGGGGAACAGTGAGGCTGCTAGGAGACAGCCAGGGGGTAGAAGATGACATAAAGTTCGGGGGAAAAGGTATGTTGGAGGGGGTTGTTTGTCTCCTTGCCTTTGTTGTATATTCAGCAGTGGTGCTTTCCTTTCAAACTCCATTCCCTTCCAAATGGTTACTGGTGCCTTCCTAACGTTTTGTGTATACCCATACAAAAATAGCACTTATGTTGAGTTTTTAAGTGTTCTTGATTGGCCATTTTACTACTGCTGGTCTTGCGGTAATGTTGAAAACAGGAATTTAATAGAAAGTAGTTACAGTAAGAAACTGTATGAGGATGACCTTTTAAGCTCTCTGCCCTACAGAGAACTGCCATTCTTTAAGCCACAGTCGCTTCTCCCTTCATATTCATGGTTTCTATAATTATGTACTGATTATTTCAAAAGCACTATTTTGTAAGCATATTTAGGGGTGAAATCTTCCCCTGAAAAGATCGTGTATCTAAACATCTGTGATCAGTTTAGAACCTGAATAAACAGAAGTTAATGCTGCCAAAAGATGTAATATGAAACCCAAATTACAAACAGAGTAAAATGTTTGACATATGAATGCCTAGATGTTTAAAACCTTATTGAACATTGAGAAATGGTTGAATGTCAAAGATCATCAAGGAAAAATGGCACGTAGATGATGCTGACTTAAACAGCAAACTAACAACTCAAACACATACATGTGTGTGTATTGGAGCATACAAACAAGCACACAAAGAGATCCCTAACATCAGATGGTTTGATTTCTTAGCATTATTTGATGGATTGTTTTGTTCTGTATTATACAGGATGCTGCACAAGTTGGTGGAACAGCTGGTCCTTTTATACTTGTATTTAGTTCCCTTTTATGGCAGATTCATAAACTTCTTTTTTTTGCAGCAAGGGCCAAACTGCATGTTATGCTAATTGTGTAGAGTGTAGCTGAAGTACATCATTTTTTAGTCTAGTGTAAACACACCGAACCCCGATTTAGTTTGGAACCAGTTTCTTCCCAACATCTTCCCATAGTTTAGGAGGGTTGAAATGGAGTTTCTCCCTTTTAACCCTCTGCAATAAGTACTGGACTGGGGATAATGTTCAACCCTCCCCTCCTGGTTTGCAGTCTCCCAAGGTAAATTGCAGCCCCACATTCTTACACTAGAGCAAAAAATAAGACAGCTCTCAGGTATGCATTACACAATTAGCATAATATGTAGTTCCTTTCTAAGTGAAAAGGCAGCTTGTCGATGTAGAAAGGGCACAGCAGTTAAGTGACAGGAATGGCATTCTGCAGATTTGCAATGATTCCCAAAGATGGACAATCACCTTTTTCCTTAAGCTCATGCAACAGAGGATCCTAGGAGAAAATCAACATAATATTTGGAATTAATCTGGCCTTCTGTTTCATTTTGGCACCCCAATGCCAATAACAGTGAATGCATGTAGAATAGAAATGAACATGTATCATTGACTGTGTTCCACAAAAGCAGCTTTTGATCTCCCCAGCTGGGGCAGGCACATTCCTGCACAAGAGCCCGGGTACAAGGTGGCAAAGAATCACATCCAGCCATCACTTTGAATGCAAGACCTTGTCAAGCATGGGACAGCCACCCCTATGACACCTTTACGTTTAGTAATGGAAGTTAATCTTATTACAATACTTTTCTTTTAAATACTTCCACAATTTAGATTATGTGATCCTTTTTGCCCTCCTGATTTCCTTCTTCACCTCAAGATCAACCCCCACATTTTAGTCTGCACACAGTGTTCTATTTTTAATGTGATGTAATTGGTTTTACTGTGTTTTTATATTGTGAATGTGAGTTGCTCAGATGTGCTGTGACACAATTGGGTGGCATACAAATGTTTTAAATAAATAAAACAACTTTTTTTGGGGGGGGGGCAGGTTGCCATAACCAGCCAGGGTTATTCTATGTACAAGTCTAGATAAAGAACTCTATACCCTAATTAATTAATTAATTAATTAATTAATTAAAAGCATTTCTATCCTGTCCTTCACTGGGGTCTCAGGGTGGCAATACAAGAATGAAGCACAGCATCAATCAAATAACAAATAAAAACCCATCTTTAAAATAATGTCAGATCTTATCTTAAAATACTGAGAAAATAAAAAGGGGTTGGCCTGGCACCAAAATCTATAAAGTGGCAGCACCAGGCACACCTTTCTGGGGAGCAAGTTCCAATGCTGGGGTGCCACCACAGAGAAGGCCCTGATCTCCTTCAAAGAGGGTTCCCGAAGAAGGACCTCTGACCCAGATCTTAGGGGCAGGCAGGTATATATAGAAGGAGACAGTCCTTCAGAGCTATCCTACCATAATGTGTCCTCTTAGTCCTTTTGGCAGTGTTTGTGTGCAAGAACACCTAATTCTCTCATTCTACTGAGCCTGTATTATGTCTACCTTATTTGTTTCCATGTATAACCCTCACCCACCATGGCCAAAGGATTCAGGCATTTGCTGATCAAGCTAAATGCATTATATCCCTCTCCTAATGTCTTTGGCATATAGATTTTATCTTATGGCTGTTTGGTCTGAATGATCATTTGTCTTACTATAGATTTATGCCAACTTCTACCCCATCCACATTTAGAACATTTTCACCTTATCCCCTATGGACAATTTGTCTTGAACTGGACCTTTCCAGCTCCTGTTCACTTTCCCCAGAGGTCAGCTTAAAAGCTGTTCTGCAACCTTTTTGATATTAAGTACCAGCAGTCTAGTTCCATTTTGGTTATATATTGACTTGAATATTTATTCTCAGGCTCATTCCTGCAATAGACACCAATCTACCGATCTATACATGGATGTGTATTGTTTGTACTTCTTGTCATATGGCAAAGAGATTATATGGTAACTAGTTTTGATAAACATTTAAAGCATTCATCTCAAAGTCAGTTTGGAATATAATCAATGTGCAATTAGCTTTTTAAACATTATGATCAAAAGCAAAAGACTGATCTCAATTTAGAAAACCTGCAAGCACCCAATCTTATTTTAAGGTTGACGCTGCCTGTCAGAAAGTTGGGTAGGTGCCAGGATGGGGCTGCAAGTGGGATGTGAGGAAGGAGGATGTGTGGTGAATCCACTGAGGTATGCAGCCCTCAACCAGATGCTGCCACCCAGCTGCTTCTTGCCCCCTCCTGCCCATGCATAAGATGTGTGGTGGGGAAGTCAGCTGCTCCTTTTTCCAGCACTGACCAGATGATTGCCTGCTCTTGCCCCAAAGATCTCTACGGCAGAAGGTGTGCAGAGCAGGTCCCCTCCAACAATTGTGCAAAATGGCAGCTCTCTGGTGCTGGCTGTGGTATCATGATGAGTGCTTTTTTCTTGGCTTGGATGACAGAACAAGCCATCATGTTAGCTAGAAGCTATACAACAGACCATGTTTCTGTTCATGTTTTCTGAAAGCCATGTGTACCGCATGATGGGTTATCATGATGGGTTCATGCGACACAACAGACCAAAAACAGTACAAAAAACCCCTGCCCTGGTTTGATGAGTCATATGAACTCACCCACTATGTCTATATCACAATTTCCATAAGTGACCCTTCTCTAAAATTCCAGTCTTGTTTGGGAGCAAGCCCAACTGAATAGAGTGGAGCTTAAAAATTCCAGATAAACTCTATATGATTAGTTAGGAAAAGAGATGCACTTGAGATGCTCCTTTCTTTCTGCCAAGTGGACATGTACTAAATTAGTTGATGATACCGAAGATTCAAACATGTGGTTTTGAAAATGTTAATAGCAGATGCAGTAAGATCAGAGAGGGCGGATTTAGATCAAAACCATGGTGCTGAGAAGAGACTTTCAACCTTTTGTGTTATGAAATTTGCCTGCACCCAAGCCACTCTTTTTCCACAAGCAAACCACACAAGTTTTATGGATTTACCTTGAATGTTAACTGGGCTTGATATAAGATCATGCATTTCCTTTGTTGTGGTAAATCACAATACGTTTCCACTACTGTAAGTGTGTTTGCTGATTTGATACACATACACATTGCTTTCAGTTATCTTTATAAGAGCTGAGACTCAAAAAACTCAAAAAACAAATGGGTCCTTTCATAATAGTGCTTCATACCATTTGATATCTTAGTCTTAGCTATTATCTCCCTTCCCATCCCATTGATCTTTCCTGCATGGTGCTGCCAAAGACCAGCTGGGAAGGATGTGGTCTTGGGGACAGACACATACACCTTGCAAGAAAGAGCCAGGGAGCCAGCAGGTTCTGGCTGAGGGGGAAGGCAAAGCAAACCCAAGAGATACAGGATTTACTGAGAGGATGCCTTTTTGTTAGGTTGCAACTCCTTTAAGGATCAACTTATCTCTTCTGCTCAGAGAGCTTTTTTCCTTCCTGCAAGGCTGTAGGAAATAGATTATAAGCTTTCCACAGGTTCCCACATTTCACCAGGGCAGTCCTGAAGAGGAACTCCTCCACTGTCTACCTTCCTCCCACCAAGCAGGTTTTTGAGCCTGTTTGCAAGTAATGTGAGAGGTTGCCATTGCATTCATTCGATACAATAATGTGTATTTAATTTATCCCTGTACTGTCCATCATCATAACAGGTTCCAGGATGGAATAAAATATAAATGAACAATTGTTTTCAAAAGCATAATTTTAAAAAAATCAGAGGAGGAGTTGTTTTTAAAAGCCTCCATCTAGTTTTGTGCATTGTGCACATTGGTCTTGCTATAAATCTGATCGGTGTGTCACAGCAGGACACTCCACAGGCTCTGCCTTTGCATCTTTCCATTTTGCATCCAGCTTTCTTAAAAAAAGAAGTAACCCTCAATATTGTGCATGCCTCAAGGATGGGGTTCCTCCCTGCATTAACAGACTCCGCAGCTCCTTTCCGAACAGTGCTCTCTCTGCAGATTGCATGGCTTTTTTTCTTTTCATGTATGCACATAGATGCCGGCCCTTTTGAGTCATCCTTGTCATGTTTCCTTCCCACAGCGAAACGTTACTGTAAGAATTCCAGCCCAACCAGCAGCACAACAAGCAGTTATGCCCCTAGCAGCAGCAGCAACATGAGCTGTGGAGGAGGCAGCAGCGCTAGCAGCACCTGCAGCAAGAGCAGCTTTGACTATACCCATGATATGGAAGCAGCGCACATGGCTGCTACTGCTATACTGAATCTTTCCACTCGGTGCAGGGAGATGCCTCAGAACCTCTCCACTAAGCCTCAGGATCTCTGTTCCAGGGTAAAATACATGCATGCATATCTATCTCTCTCTCTAGCTGTAGATTTTTGTTGCTATTACATGGCGGTATGCAACTCTTCATTGCAGTAGCCTCTGCACCTTGGAGGAATTCACTAAAAGCTTCCAAGGAGGCTTGTTCTTCACATAAATGTTTTCTGAACATCGGAGATAATCCAATTCAGAATACTGAGTTTAAAAACAGTTTCTGGCAACAATGGAAACAAAAACCGGCATACTGTTAACTGTTTTTTTAATTGCTGAGATCTACTGAGAAAAATCTGAAGCTCTTTTGGCTGCATTCACTGAAGGGTCTGTTGTACATCTATAATATGTTTATTGGTATTAAGAAGTTTAATATAGCAATTTACATGGGGAAGTAAAGTGTGGTTTGGTGTGGCTGAGCAGGGCTTCTGCTCAACTCATACAGGATTGGTTTACTCTGTGTATGGATATACAGCAATAAGACAGTAGGGATATCAGTCCTTTTGCCCTTCAAATGTATAACACAAACTTAAGCTGTGTTCCAACATGTGATTATTATATGCATATCTGTCTTCCCCAACCTGGTGTCCTTCAGATGTTTTGGACTACAACTCCCCACATTCCTGACCATTGACCACACTGGCTAGGTCTGATGGGAGCTGAAGTATATGTCACTTGTATGTGGTGCACAAGTCTTAAGTCAGAGATACCCTCTTGATAGTGGATGCCTCCAGCTGAAGCATTCACAGGATTTTTGGGTGTTCTGATCCTCTGGTAACCCTCCTTTGTTTTCCCAGCATTTCTTCTACCTTTTTCTTACCTTCTGATCATTAGTGCACACAGTGTCTCCAACCTATTGATAAAGAGTACCTCAGCCTTGAAGGAAACATTCTTGATTACCCAACTCTGGAAAGCTGTTCTGCAAATTTGCCATATATTCTTCTGGAAGCAGGGTGAAACTTTTAAAAACACATTCACTTATTTTAGTGGATGAAATTAAACTGATGGAACAGTTGATAGTATACTCATAATACATCAGTGTTGTTTAAACATCATTGTTTCACACCATGACTGTATAGATACAAGTTTCTGATTTCTTACTTCCCCTAGGGTGAGAACTGAGCTTCCCATATTCAGTCAGAAGTAGAGACTTAGAATCACTTGTCTTAGTCCTGTTGCTTAGTACCATGTTAACTGAACTTTAGGTTGTCCTGAATAACAGTACTTCCCCACTGCTTGTTGTGGGAAGGTAAGAGGTCCTAGGAACATGCTTAGCTATGCCTTTCAATATGGCAAATTGAGTTAACTAACGATCCATTCCATAGATAGCAACAGGAGTTCTGTGCATTCACTGAGAGCTGGATCACAAATACTGGGTGGTATCCAGTTATTTCAGCTGATGGAACTGTTTCCATCAGAAATGTGGATCGCAGTGATTCCTTGCTATTACTGTGCTATTACTATTTAATTATGTGCACATTTAAAATCTGCTCTGGAGAGTTGATGTACCCTCTAAAGGCAGTTCAATGGGGCTTCAGGGTAGGAGGAATAATAAAGGAAAAATTCTGCACTGTGCTGGGTTTCTGTTTGTGTGACACTGGATTTTTCATCCAGTAGTTTTTCAACATTTGAGGCATTAACAAAACTATATTTATTATTCTGAAGATCTAGTTTGCACATGCATATGTACATCAAGTTAAGAGCTTGTTGGAATTATGTTTGACTAAAGTGCTACTCCTTCTACACAGTACTAATTAATTTTACTATAGTAATACAAAAGGGTTTTATGTTAGATGCTTTCATTAGCCATGTAGCTAAATCCAACCACATGCATCTGGACTAATGCAAATGCAACAGGAACTTCCCTTCCATT